GCATTTCCTTAAACATTTTCCATTTGCCCACCAATTTATTTTATTGATTTGCCTACTTTAAGCACGTTTAATTATTTCTATATGTATTTAAACAAGAATTTGTGTATTTATACACACATTTATTTATTTATTTATTTGTGTATTTATTGTTTTTGCAGGTTTCATCCTCCATAGTTGACAGCTGATAGCTGTTTTAGATCGACGAAAGGAAAGGTCCTTGCACACTGAATCCGAAATTATCGTCCAAAAAAACACGAACTAAGAAAAAAAGAACACTAATTTTGCAGGTTAGCCAATCACTGTCTTAAATTAGTCTCAGATTGCTCGCCAAATGCTCCGCCCTTTAACCCTTAAAGTGGCCTGACCAAATTTTTGAACATTCAACTCTCTGCAACAGCGCCTCTTTCAAAAATATGAATTCAACATATGATAAAAAAGTAACGAATGCAAAATAGTCTACACTACTTTCATGTAAACCTGCAGCTTTAAAGTTGTGTGATTTTAATTCTGTGATATAGCCTATCGATATTCTATTGGTCACGTGACTTTGTGATACCATCTTTTATAAGATGGTTATTCCATATAAGTTTTTTACATACGTAGCAAGTTTTCACAAAATAAAAAATTATAAAAACATTATTATTCCGCCAAATCGATGTTGTTCCTCAGAAACCATTGTAGTTGCAACAAAGTGATTTCCGAGCAACACACAGATGCAAAAAGGTGTGTGTTTGTAGAGTAATTTACAACAGCTTGGAACGCGGCTCAACCAATCAGAATCAAGGACCGGAACTCTCCGTTTTAGAATTAGAATTTTGGAACACAGTGAAGTACTTTAGATGAGCTGGCGATTTGTATGCATAGTATATCACACTGTTAATAAAATAGCAAGCAAATCATGTATTAATGATGCACAATGACATAAGATCAATGTTTTTTTTATTTGATAAAGGCATACATTGAAGGTGAAACCAGTCTTTTGTAAGATTACTTAATATACACAATCTGTACATGTATTACTTCCAGAAACAAAAAGAACTATTGAATCAAACTGTAAAAACGAAGCGTTGTTAATAGCATTAAACATACTGTGAGTGTTTTCAGGATCTTTTTAAAGCTGCATAAAAACCACAAAACGTCGTAATATTGTATGCGCACCATCCTTCCATTGACACAAAAGCTTCATGAAACATATTTGCAAAAGCTGGCACCTATCAAATCGCATTGTGCCATCGGTGATGCCAGTCCAGAAAAACCCCTCAGACTGGTGCCTGTAACATTATACATGTAAACAATGATAGTAATATTACAGCATGAATATTTCAAACATTCACTTTGTTCTGCCGCTTCTAGCCGTCTATACATCGTATCAAAACCAGAATCTGATCAAACTAAGAATGACCAAAGAGTTTAAATCAACTGTCCAGTTTGGTTTCTTGCTCACCGGCAAATATTATTAGAAATGTTTGTCACATGCACTCGCTGTTCTGAACAGACATCTACCTTCGTTTTTATACAGAAATATACATCTTTTGTTAGAGCGATAGTTCACTCAAAAATTACAATTTTGTCATTATGTACTCTCTCAACCCTCATGTTGCTTCAAACCTGTTTGACACACTTTCTTCCATAAAATACAAAATTATACATTTTGCAGAATGTCTAAGCTGCTCTTTGGAAGTAGATCCAGGGGCTATTAATAATAATAATAAAATAAATAAATAAACAAATAAGATTAAAAAAAAAAATTTCAAAAGGAAACAAAATACTGTAAAATGAAATAAAGTTTCAAAAAGAGACAATAAAATAAAATGTAATAAAAAATTAAATAAAATAGATTAACGTTCTTCCATAAAAATACAAAAACGAATTTATTTAGCAGAATATTTAAGCTGTCAAATAGACCGTGACCAGGGGCTAAAAAAATAAAATGAGGTAAAATAAAAAGCCTCAAAAAGGACACACAAACATAAAATATCAAATCAAATAATAAAATAAAGCTGCAAAAAGGACAAAACGAACATTAAATAAAATAAAACGAAACAATCATTTTTTTTTTTTTTTTTTAATAAAAAAGAAATAAAACAAAGCTTCAAAAAGGGCAAAAAAGGAGAGTGACCGGGGGTAATAAAAATAAAAAAAGGGCAAAAAATTAAAAACTTAAAAGGGCTTTATTTATGTATTTATTTTTTAACATAAGAACGTCAGTTATATGGGTTTGGAACAACATAAGTCGAGTAAATGACAGATTTGTCATTTTCAGGTGAGCTATCCCTAGTTTAGGGGTTGGCGTAAGGAATTATGGGTATTTGGGTGGTGTGGGTGGGGTAGTAACTGAAGCTAAGAGGAACCTAAAGCACGCAGCTCTCAGTGCAGTCAGTGGTACTATCATCAGCGGACCTCTTCCTCAGCTCTCGGCCGGGTTTGTGGTGCTTGTGGTGGTCGGACTGCAGACGCTCCTCTTTTGACGTCGCCCCCTGCTGGGCCGGAGGAGGCACATTCCCCTCGGCCCGCTCCACCTGCAGGTACGCCCGCACGCGATGGTGCCGCAGCTGGCTGTCGCTGAAGTCGATGACGTGGCATTCGTACGTTCCCTCGTCTGCAGGCTTCACGCTGGACAGACGGAGCTTGTGGGAGATGTTGCTTCCGGCAACCTTCACCACCTACAGAGAAACGGACAGGAGATGTGTGGAAGCCAGCGTCAGGGTATTAAATCATAAATCAGCCTCGAACATGCTGATTTAAGATGGACTCCGGTGAAGAAGCAGTAGGCCGAAATATGCAGTGTGTTTTAGAAAATCAGATCTAGAACAGCCTTTTGAGAACATTTAAGGCAAGACACTAAAAGGCAAAACTATTGTTTTATTCATGCACTAATCAGTTTTGTGATTTTGTGCTATTTTGCTTCCATAACATGTCTTTTTTTCAGACTAGTGGAAAGAAAACATCCAAAGTGTTCATTTTATTACACTTTTGCGTCTGTAGATTTTAATTCGAGTACATATTTTTCAGAATATGTTTTTATTCTGCACTGAGCCAGAAATGTAACCAAACCAAACTTCAGTTTTATTCTTATCTATATTCTGAAGGTTTTTGCAGAGGGGTTTGTTGTTCATATATCATTCGCCTAGTTTCTATTACATTTTGTTCCTTAAAACATGTGAAAATGTATTCTAGTTTTTGACTGTTGACATTATTTTCTGATTTATGGAGTAATAAAAAGAAATATCCAACATCCCATTTATAAGTCCTTTAATATGTCAACAAAATGAAACGTATTTCGTACCTGGCTTTATCCACTGTTCAAATTTATGTTCCGCAAATTAGTGCATATTTAATTACATAATGCATCATTTGCACATTTAAATATAATATTTAAGAAAACTTGTAATGCAAAAGCATTGTCTTAATCCGTTTAATCAACTGGTGAAAATATGTTTATTTCTATTAATGAATTGTCACCCTGTTCACCTGTAGTGCTTTGCCTCAACTACACCCATGCCTGTGGTACTCGCAAAACACAAGCACAAATCTAATAAACCTCTGGATTTGTTAACAAGGAGTCTTTTGTATTGCTCCCAGCTCTCATGTTTTCTGTCCTGCAGGCTGAAACGAGCTCCTGAACATCAGAGCTCCTGTGTGGCCCATCATGTGCCTCTGAGCAGCAGGAAGCAGTAGAGACATTGTTTCCATCCACATCTGGGATATTGTGTTAAAAATGCGAGATGGAAACACCAAAATGCAAATAAAATATCCAAAATGTGCATAAATGTAAATTCTTTGTCAAAAATAAGAATTTTTATGAAAAATAATATAAAAAAAAAAATTAATTCTAATCAAACGTTTAATTTTGTATTTTTTTTTATTTATACTAGTATGAAAAACATGAAATGATTAGTCTCAATGATTGGTTAATATTACCTCAAGCTGTTGCTCTCAGAAGTTAAGAGCATGTGGTCTGTGCACTATAAACTGCAAGTAATTTATTATATCAAATATATTTTGCAACAATTACCTGGGGAGTGACAATTATGTTCTATTTATTTATTTAGTTTAGCAATTAATAGTAACTGATAAGTAATTCATTTAAACTCTTGCTGTATTCAGATTTTTTTTACATGAATTAAATTCACAATTTGTAAACGCGCGAGTTTAGTGAAAGGGGGCAATGTGATGCAGCAGTAGATGTGGTGAGAGAGTGGAATGCATCCATGGAGGCACTGATATGCAATGAAATGTTGTGAAAGAGGAATGGATTTGTGGAGGCAGTGAAATGCATCAGTGGAAGCAATGCAGTCAAATGCAGTGAGGGAGTGAAATGCATTAGTTGAGGCAGTAAAATGCAGTGAGTGAGTGAAATACAAAAGTTGAGGCAATACAATGCAGTGAAACATCAGTGGAAGCAATGCAGTGACATTGTGAAATGCAATAGTGGAGGCAATGCAATGCAGTAGAATGGAGCGAGTGAGTAAAATACAACAAATAAGGCAATGCAATGTGTAGTGAAATGAAGTGAAAGAGTGAAATACAATAGTAGACAGTGAAATGCATCAATGGAGGCAATGCAATGCAGTAAAACACAGCAAGTGAGTGAAATACAACAGCTGAGGCAATGCAATGCAGTGAAATGCAACAGTGGAAGCAATGCAGTGACAGTAAAATGCATCAGTGGATGCAATGAAATGCAGTAAAATGCAGTGAGGGAGTGAAATACAACAGCTGAGGCAATGCAATGCAGTGAAATGGAGTGAGGGAGTAAAATACAACAAATGAGGCAATGCAATGTGTAGTGAAATGCGGTGAGAGAGTGAAATACAACAGTTGAGGCAATGTAATGAAATGCAGCGAGAGATTGAAATGCAATAGTGGAGGCCATTAAATACAGTAAAATGCAGCAAGTGAGTGAAATGCAACAGTTGAGGCAATGCAATGCAGTGAAAGAGTGAAATGCATCAGTCTGCATGTGAGCATTAATGAGATGAGCTGTGGAACCGCAGACACATGAGAGATACATTCACACAACAGCTCTCTCTCTTTCTCTCTTCCTCTGAAGCACAGAGACAATAGGACAATCTCTCTCTAAAGCGGTCAGCGTTCCCAGAGGACTCTGAGCGCGGGTCCAGACGCTTAATAAAGCCGTCTGCCAGTGAAGCAGATTGAGTGTGGATCAGGTGGATAAATAAACATACATTCACAAACCCGCATGCACACACACAAACACTCTAACATTAACTCCACTCGCTGGCGCCGTTTCCACAGCACTACATATGTCGAGTGTGTTAACAAACATGCTCTAGCTATCAGCTTCTCTACAATCAGAAATAACAGCACAGTTAGATGCACGAGAGCGTAAACCGGCGCCATCGTGAACATCAGCGGCTGGACGGCGTGCTTCCAGAGAACCTCCAGCCTCAGATCCAGAGCTCTGCTTTCACACTGGAAGCAAATGTCCTTGTGAATATTTAATGAAGTAGCAGAAGAGAGATGCTTTGATTTATCCACCCACACACACACACACACACTCACCTTCAACATCCTACTGAGAGAATGAGCCTGCAAAACTCCATATTCTCAAATCTTACTAGTCAATGCGCTATCCACTCATCCCTGATCAGACACGCTTAGAAAAGCTATTTAGATGCCAAACGCCAATAAGTGAGTGAGTAACAGATGCTTAAAAAAAAAGTACATTTTTATTGTAACCTTTTAATGTCATGAGAAATTCGGATACTGGGTG